CCCCCATGGATTGGGTGGCGGTCCCCCGTGCACACATGCGTGATTGCTCACGTGACTAATCAAACTCTCCCTAATCTCCCCCGCCAGCTGTCCGCGGTATGTAGGGTCTCCTTCAGGCGGTGGTGGCTGCGGCGACTGTCCTCCAGCGCGCACGCGTCTTCGCCGACGTGGCTGGCTCTCCGCATCACTACGGTCATCATCGCTGTCATCGGACAGCAGGTCTGGATCGATGACGACCCTCGCATCAACCATGATGTTGTGGAGAATGAAGATCGCCATGAACTCTTTCAACAGAGTCTTCATGTTGCCAATCTGACGGCGGATGAAATGTCTCCTAACGGACTTCAATCGCCCGAATGTCTGTTGGATACATGACTGCGCCGAAGTGTGACAATCATCGTACGTCACTTCCGCGGCCGTTCTCCCGCCTTCCTTGTTGCCGACAGGAGTCATTATCCACGACAGCAATGGGTATCCTGCATCACCAAGCACGTAACGGCCCACATGACGACCATCTCTCAAAACGACAGACCCCGAGCCGAAAACGCCACGGCCCTCTTGCGCCATTCGGTACAGAGGAGACAAATGAAGGGCACGGGAATTGTGCAGAGAACCAGGGCACCCCACATACACAGTTCATATGCGGCATTCATGGTAGCACACCACTTGGGCTTGCACGGAGTACTGCCCCGTTTGGTCGAAGTAACACTCCGACCGCTCGTTCTTCGTTTTTTTTAGGTATATGTGAGTGTCGTCTATGGCTCCCACGCACCCTAGGAAACCCTTTCTCTCGAAGGCAACAAGCACATCCTCCATCCTCCTTCCTATTGGAAACGAGATGATGTTGCCGTACTCCCTTATCAAAGTGTCCGCCACGTCCTCGTTACTCCGAAGACCGCAGCACAGACCCAACCCCAGCCCATGCGCTGTCTGCCTGTAGAAACCTCTCGTGGCCCACCTGATGAGAGCGCAAGCGAATTTCTGGCTGGCTGGGACAGGCTGCCTCCAGTTCGTCGTCTGGCGCTGGATATGGGGGCCGATTCGGGCGAGCACGTCGTTGAACACAGGCCGCGGCAGCCTGCAAAATCGCTTGAACACTTTGTCGTGCTCCAGTCCCACCCTCTGCAGATCCTTCCCAACCCCCCGCTGCGTTCGATCACCCATATTTGCCGCCGCCGTTCCAACCTCGCACCCAATTTCGTCAACAATGCAAGATGCCAAGGACACGCTGTGCATCACCGCACCGGCCAGATGGAAGAAGGCGGACAAAATCTCCGAACCAAACAAGGGCACTGCTGCTGCAGCTTGAAGGACGCCCATGGCGGCGACGTTTCTCCGGTTCATCCATTGCATGATGACGAAGAGGACGATGAACATCTCATCATCATCCCAGTAATCGGCCACGGTTGTTGACATTGACGCATCCATGTGGGGGGCACGACAGTGCTTCGCTTCCCGCGGCTATGGCGATCCACGTCAGCCGGTCGTTGATAATCCCTCACAGAACACGCCCCGTACCCTTCGTGTTTGGGAATTTGAAGAGTCCCCACTGAACACCACCCGACACCCCCACGCCTGGCTTTCTGCACTGAACGGGCGAACGGACCACGAACCCAGGTACTTGTGATGCTCGACCGTTGCCATCTCGGGTACCGCGAAACCGTCCAAGCGGGAGGGTCCCAGCGTTTCCCGTCGCACCAAGCGCCACAGATGCCACACAATGCCACCCACGACCCGTGAGCGGCCACCCCTCAAGTCCACCACGGCCTACCAGGCCTTCAACGGTGGACAAAACAGCCAAAATGGTCCGAAAGTCGGGAAGAACTCTTCCAAAAGTCTGGAAAAGAGGCATTTCGGTGGGGTCCCGTCTTTTCTTTTCCGAAAACTTCCAGGACTTCCCCGTCACTTTACCACGGAAGCTGCCTTTTCCAGACTTTGGGCGGTGGGGTCCACCTCTGAGGGTTTACTTCCAGAAAGCCTCATCACGGACCAAGTGGAAGTTGGGGAGGATTTTGTTCGGGTCGCAGTCAACCTGGAAGAAGAGTGGTTGTCCGAAAATACGGTGTCAGCGTCCTTTGGGAACGACGCCAAGCCCATGCCGGTAAAAGTGAAAATCCGCCTAATTCGTATGTACAGAAATGGATGGGCAAAATGATGCCCCTCCTAAGAAGGGTGTTTTTCATAATGAAGGGTATAACTTGCTAACGTCTGTATCCTCCTCCAAAGTCATTGCTCAATGGATGCTAATGAAAAAGGAAGACAAAATTATGCTGGATGGGAAAATCTGCAACGTGTCCTTCCGTCCATGGATGTCTGAGAAAGAGTTGTTTGAATGGAGGGAAGCCCACAGGTTTAAGTTTTTTCTGGATACATTGTATGTATGTCCCCGTGGCAGCCCTGTCCTAAGTGGCCGTGGCAGTCAGAGGAGCTTTTGGTGAGATACTGAAAAAATATAAAACATACACAGAACTAGCATCGCCCGGACTAATGAATATTCAGTTTGATTTGCAACCCAGGGCCCGTACTCGATATGTAGACAGCATTTTCACTCAGATGAGTGGGTCTTCTTTAGCTTCCCACTCTCGCACGGTCGCCTCCTGCTCGTCCCTGGGCACATATATTAACGCCTCCTCATCCTCTCCCAGGGTCAGTCCTGCAACCCACTCTAAAATCTTCTTCTCCATCAAGTCTTTCTTTGTCTCACTGGACTCCCCTCTGTTTCCTCTTCTCCCTCTCTCCAGTGGCTCCTCTTCTACTTCTTCTTCTTCCTCTTCCACTTTCTTTAATTTCGCTTCTTCTTCTTTCTTCAGCCTCTCCTTCTCTCTGGCCATCTCCTCCTCTATCTTTTTCAACTTCCCCGCCCGCGCCTCCTGTAGGGCCTTCTTCTTGGCCTCTTTCTTCTCTTTCCTATTTTTCAGGATGGCAGCGGCCTTTGCTTCCTGCTCGGCCGTGTAGGGCGAGGTACCCGTCCCCGTACGTGTCTCTACCCTGCACGAAAACGTGTTCCATCCCAATGGAAAAATGAAACGCCAAAGGGTCCCCCAAAGGGAGAACCCCACGAGCAACCCGTACATCGGGTAATCATCCATGGTGATAGGTGCACGACAGGACAGTCCCACTCCTCACCATGTAGACCTACCCGCAAAACTCACTGACGGACTCTCTAAGGACCACAGGCTTCATATAGAACCCTGTCAGCTATGGTCACTAGCCTAGACCTATGCTATGGCTGTGACTACTAGACCAGCGGCTGATCAGGAGGCATTTAAGGAGATCCCCCGTAACTTCGCAAGAAGTATTTAACGTCGCAGACAGGACGACGTGATCAGCTTGGTCTTGCCTGTTGCACAGCCCGAAACTCAGCCTTTCAGGCCTACCGTGCCACACCGAGCAGCCCGCCGGTCTATACCGGTCCTTGGGAGGGTTCATGTCCTCCGGGACAGTCGAGTCGTCAGACACAGTCTTTGGCCTTACTAGGTCCGGTAGGGGTTTGGGTCAACAAGGCCCAAAACACTTAAGACTACTTGGTGTGTCAGCCCACAACTCCGCTGTTCAAGTCCACCTTGTCACGCCCAATCCGAGCCCGCCGGTCAGAACCGGTCCTTGGGAGGGTTAGGCCTCCGGGACAGTGAGATTAGACACGGTATTAGCTCTACAAGGTCAGGTAGGGGTTTCGTCATCCAGACCCTATCCTTCATCCACATAGTACTACCACTTAGGACAGAAGAGACTCAATGCAGAAAGAAGAGACATACAGACTCAGACTCAGCAAGTACCTCAGGGTGAGTGCACATCCATAGGGCGAGGGGATAGGCTAAGGGCTTGACGAGATGTTACCAACTCCAGCTTGGTCCAAGTCTTAGTCAACAACTCGGGTCAGCACCTTGGTCAACGCTGAGTCAACGCGGACAACCCTCGGTCAACCCTCCAGTCAGCGCCCGGTCAACCCTCTCGTCAACGCTTGGTCAACCCTCCGGTCAGCTATGGCTGCCGGCTCCTTCTCTCTCAACAACCTTCACTCTCCTTCTCCCCTTCGTCACCCTCCTTCCTTCTCGCTTTTTTTT